TAATCAGATGTTTATTTTGATTGGTTCTGATTTGGATGTTGCTAAGCAAATTAACTGTTCCAAACTAGATCCAGGTGGACTTCCCACGGTGTGCACTCTCCCCAAATAGTGGCCTAAGAGTTATCTTACTCTGTTTAGGTCTAGTACTACTCTTTTGCTGTCCCGAATCTGCATACCAGCAGCAACTGTAATGGCTTGCAGGCCTGGAAACTGAACAATGTTTTAACTGTTTGGCCGAGGCTTGGCTTTGATTTGGAGTTTTGTTGTGGGCTGACCTAGAGTCCCTCTGTTCAGGGTATGTCCTGAGTGACACAATGCAATTGCCTGCACTCAAACTCAGTAAGACTGGTGAGGGTGTCCCCTTCCACTGGAATACCCTGCAACTCATATGCTCTACACACTGCATTTTCTAATGAGAAAGCCAGTTGTAGTGTCTGTTTAATGCCTAGTTGTGCTTCAGCTAGTAGGCAGTTTTGCATGGTTATTTCATTAATCCCACATAACAATGGTCTCTCACCATCTCATTAAGGGTTAAATGAAATTTATATGCCTTGGCCAATCGTCTTAATCTTGTCAAAAATCCCAAAACGGGTTCCCCTGGGTCTCGAATTGCCAAATAAATCTGATAGAATTAGAGGAGGCTTGGGGTCATAATATTCCTTAACTAAATCTGTCAACTCTTGAACAGTTTTAGTATCTGGTACCTCAGGGAAAATTAGTCTTCTAATAACTGAAAAGCTGTCAGGAGAATTACTCATTGCTTTTCATCTGCCCCAGTGTCATTTGCCTGGAAAAAAATAACACATTCTTTCCACATACTAGGCCCAGTCTTCAACAGCAAGGTCAAATGGGTCACTCTTCCCAAATAAAGGCATGAGGCCAGAAATGCTTATTCCAACACAACAATGACTGTTGCGAGCAAGTTTTTTCAGGACCGTGCTTTACTCTCATCACCACTGAATTAACTCCACATAGGCCAGTATCCCATCACCAAGTCACCTTTTATTTATACACGGAAAATCCTTGACACTGATTCAGCTCCCTCAGAACCAGCCCTCAGAACCAGCTCTCAGTGTGACAGCTTGTCTGACAATCCTGTTTATATTTGTTAGCCAGGGCTCCCTGATTGGACCAGATTTATAGCCTGATTTGGGGAACTTGGATTCTATGAGGTCCACCTGGATAACATCTTTACAATCACTACACTTTGCTGTCATTAAAAGTGAGTCTGCTAACTCCCTTAATTAATTTACCTTGACTTCACTGAAGTTTCCCTGTCATTTGTATAAATGTCATCAGGTTATGACAACCATTATACCTAACCTTTCAGTATTTAATATACTTGATGTCTATTTTTCCTTAATTCTAGTTCTGCTGTACAAACAACAGATTTACGGGAAGAGGTTTTCTATTGCAGACCTACCCTTGAAAAATTACAGTTTTGAAATTCAGTCACAGAGTTGTACAGCATGGAAACAGACCCTTCGGTCCAACTCATCCATGCCAACCAGATATCCTAAATTAAACTAGTCCCATTTGCCAGCATTTGGTCCAGTGTGTTCCTCTGTTTTGTCAAAGAAGACATTTCATTGTTCACTGTTGCAATGACAATTGATCTAGTTACAATTAATTTATAACTTTATTTCTCCCTGTACATTACAGTGAGAATCTGACAAATTAGATTTTTAGTTTGGGCAAAATGAAGTCACAAAGAATTATGTGTCATTATATTGATCTTAGTAATACTGAGCAAGTGATGTACCAAAATATTTTGATGAAAATTAAGATATCACTCTTGTACTTGGAAATTAAGAGAATTTTTTCTGTATTTTCTTCAGAGCCCCTTTAAACAATTATTTCTAAATAACTTATACTGATAAACAGATTTTTAATTGAGCTAAACATACAGGATAATAATGTCCCAAATTATGTCATCACCTGGATTTCTTTAATAAAATATTTCTACTTTATCTTATAAGAGTTTTTGCAGAATATTTGGAGAAATTGATGTAAAAATTCAAGCGGGCAGCTGGCAAGACTCAATGTGCAACGGGTTCAATCTTTGCCTTTAATATTCTGTGTGTTTTATGTGAAGAAAGTCTTTTGGCCTTACACACTCAGGTCTACATGTAAATCCAGGCCCATAACAAAACTGGCAGCTTCTTAACTGTTTGCTGAAATGGCATTGCAAACCATTCAGTTATATCAACACACGATAAAAATGTTGAGTAAGAATAATGGAAATGACCTAAGCATGAAACACAACAAAGGCACTCAGTGCAGTCGAGTGCAAAGCCAGATGCAGACTTGCTTCAATATTTGAAAGCACCATCCTAAAGTTAATATAGAAACAGTTTGACTGTCATTCTGCAGAGCTGGATGAACACAGCAGGCCAAGCAGCATCAGAGGAGCAGAAAGGCTGATGTTTCGGGCCTAGACCCTTGGCTGCTTGGCCTGCTGTGTTCATCCAGCTCTGCACCTTGTTGTCTCGGATTCTCCAGCATCTGCAGTTCCTACTATCTTTGACTGTCATTCTCACTGAATCATACTTTACAGCCAACACCCCAGATTCCTGGGTATGTACTGTCATCCTGATAGAATGGAGGCACCAGGTAGTGGCAGCCCTGGTAGAAGGAAATGGCTTTGAGGGGAATCCACAATATTGACTCCAGGCACCATAAGGACTCAAGGCATCAGTTCAAGTTTAAACAAGAAAGTTGATGACTAACACCTACCACCGTCCTTCATAGTTGCTGAGTCAGCACTCCTCTATCCTCACCACCACCACTTTAAAGGAGTATAAGGACAAATGAGAATACACAATGTATTCTAGCCTGTTACCAACAGTAGATTGGTACTGTCTGAGTCCTGAAGGACATACATGTCAGACTGGACCTTTGTCAGTTAGCAAGAGAATCAATTTGATAGAAACCCCTACTCAACACGTCAAGCTCCATGTCACAGACACACCTCTCAATGCCAGTATTGTTATGAGTGATGACTGCACAGTCCTTGCCTGAGATAAAGTTCTATCTTCACACAGGATTACAGCGGAAGCAGGATGTAGTGAACAAAGCAAAGTGATTCCACAATAGCAGAGCAGTTCAAAACTCTGAAGACCTCTCACATTCAGTTGTAAATGGTGGTGTATAATTAAATAACTAATGGGGAGAGAAGTTTCCATGAACATCCCATTCTTGATGACTGAAGAACAATAGTTCCCAACAATCTCAATTGCTTTATTCAACAACTTTCCTTCCACCATTACATCAGAATTACGGATGCTAACTGGTGATTTTACAGAGTTAAATTCCATTTGCAATTCTGCATAAAATGAAGCAAATACTTGCATGCTACATAGCCTGGCAACACTCAGGCTTTGGCTGATAAGTCATATTTATGCCCACACAAGTGCCAGGCAATGACAATATACATCAAGGGAGGATATAACATCTCTCCTCAACATTTCATAGAATTCCTACAATGTGGAAGCAGGCCATTCAGTTCACACCAGCCCTCCAAAGGACATCCCACCCCAACCCTATCACTGTAACCCTGCTTTTGCCATGGCTCATCCATGTAGCCTGCATATCCCCGGACATTATGTACAATTTAGCATGGCCAATCCACCCAACCTGAACGTCTTTGGAATGTGGGAGGAAATCCACACAAACTCCACACAGTCACCCAAGGCTGGAATCGAACTCAGGTCCCTGGTGCTGTGAGGCAGCAGTGCTAACCACTGAGCCGTCGTGCTGCCCACATGACTTACCATTACAGAATCTCACCATCATCATTACACCTGGATATGCACTAACCCACCGACAGGACAGACCCAAAAGAGTTGGTGGAACAGTTCCATACAGGTGGGAGGAAATGGTTCTGGAGATCCTCAATATTGATTCTGGATCACAAAGCACTGTGACTTCAACTGTCATGGCAAGTGTGAGGAGATTTCTTGCCACCCTCCACCTCACACCTTCCCTCAGCTATTGAGTCAGTACTTCTTCATATTGAACACCACTTGGAAGAAATAGCAGAAGTATCGTTGCCTCAGAATGTTCTCTGAGTGGAGGCCGTCAATCACTAGAATGGTTCAGTAGCACCAATACTGACTCAGCTGGCCAAGTCTGTGAGATTGGCTCTGCAGCTGGTACTGTTTGAGCCAAGAGTGAAAGACCTACTGACTGCATCTTCACCAACTGACCTGTCACAGATGCCTCTGTCAATGAAACTCTTTCTCAAGTCTTTCTAAAATTAAGTTGTGCAGCACAACACAGAGGGAGTGACACAGAAGAAAGAGAATAAAGATAAAGAAATGTACAGAAAGACAATATTAGAGAGGAGTAAACAACCATTACCTCTAAGGATGTAATCAAATAATCTTTTTCTCTGCGAGCTTTTGCAGAAGAGATCTGTCAGAGGCCACTAAAATGGTATAAAAAGTTGGGCAGAATGTAATTTTTAAAAAATTATTAGGCCTGAAGACTTGTCAAGCTTCAGTGGAAGTTTGCAGTGTTTAGGGACTGTTGAAAATTCATCAAGTAAGAAGCAGCCTTTTCCAGCCTTCCTGTTTGGCAACTTCAAACAGCTTGAAAGTGCTGCAATTGGCTTTGTGAACAAAGAAGTGGGGAACTATTTACAGCTTTGTGGCTTGGATCAGGGGAGCTTGTTGGCCATATTTGGCTCATCCATTAAATCATACAAATCCCTGTTCACCATGCTTTTCACACAGAGTAATAGGATGCACGCTCTACAACACAGCCAATTCACTGTCTTATCAAATTAGCATGGACACAAATATTGAAACATTTAGAACATATTATATTAAACACCAATTTGTTTGGTCTCATGTGTGATCACAAGTACATCAAAAAAATGGAAAGTTTAAACTTCCATCAAATCACAAACTAATCAATGGTGTCCCAAGAAATCAGCTGTTTGCAACATGGAAAGATAACGATGAATATGTAATCAAGATCTTGAGGAACATAAATACCTCTGTTAATGATGGCATACCACTGCAAGGAATGCTTTTGATATGATGGCCTGTTGAATGATTGGCACTGCAAGTCCCGAAAATTTGGCACTCCGGCAGGACAAGGAGGATTCTTGCATGTCCTGTACTGCACACGCGAACCCTGGCAATTCTTGCCTTTAGGACCAGGCCTGAATGGGAATAAAAAAGAACAAAACAACTGCATTAAGTTATATTTCTGCTAGAAAACTCTATCACTGAACTTCTAAGAGGGGTTAACTCCAATCCTGACAGAGAAGAGCAGTAACTGCAATATTGCAATACGTGAACACCGCCACCTCCACGTTTCCCTCCAAGCCACTCACCATCCTGACTTGGAAATATATCGCTGTTCCTTCACTGTCGCTCGGTCAAAATCCTGGAATTCCCTCCCTAATAGCATTGAGGGTCAACCCACAGCAGGAGGACTGCAGCAGTTCAAGAACACAGCTCACCACCACCTTCTCAAGGGGGCAACTAGAGATGGGCAATAAATGCTGGCCAGCCAGTGACGCCCACATGCCACAAAAATAAATAGGAAAAAAAAAAATTTCACTGGGACCTAACTGAGTGAACTCTCTGCCTGTTTTGAATGTCCTTGGCAGGGCAAGGATGCCAAGCTAGTGAGAGAGCTTTCCACACCTGATTTCCCCCAGCTCCCATCTCCTTTGTGAACAACAACCCAAACAGAAAGAAGAAACGGGGGTGGTGGGGGTGGGGTGGGGGAGAGTTGGGGGCATTGTTCTTTCCAAAAATTATACTTCATTCACAAAATTTCCAAAAATTAGATTACATGACCAAAGTTGGCATCACATTGGAGCAAACCAAATCAGTTTTTTCCAATAGTTTGGAAGCTAGGATGGGGATACGATGGGAGTGCGGGGGCTACGGTGAGGGTGGGGGTGCTGGGTCTGGGTGGGATGCTCTTTGGAGGGTCAGTGCTGACTCAATGGGTCAAATTGCCTCTTTCCACACTGTAGGGATTCTCTAATTCTATGATTCAATTTCTAATTTTCTCTCTCTGCCCCTCCCACTTATAGATGAGGGTGATTATACCTTTCCTCATGGATTTACATATACTACTGGCCACAGTGACATACACCTCCAGCGGGTCCTGGTCAACCAAGCCGCACAGAAATGAATATATTGGAGGCTGATTCCTGGATTGAAGGAGTTGATGTATCAAGAATGGCTGAACAGGTTAGAACTTTATTGATTAGAGTTTACAAGAAAGAAGGGAAATGTTAGTGAAGCATATAAGATTCTGAAGGGGCTTACAGGGTAAACGTTGCGAAGAGGTTACCACTAGTCTGTGAATCTCAAACGAGGGTCACAGTTACAGAATAAAGAGACACTCATTTAAAACTGAAATGCGAAGGAATTTGTTCTCCCAGAGGGCAGTGAATGTCTCGAATTCTCTACCACAGACAGTACGGGAGATTAGATCACAAAGTAAAGAGGAAGTAGATTTTTCAAACATTAGGGAATGGATGACAGAAGAGTTGAGGCTGGACAAATCAACTGTGATCCACCCGAATGGCAGAGCAGGCTCGAGCAGCTGAGTAGCCTATTTCTGGTTCTGTTTCTTATATTCTTAAATACAGACAGCCTATCCAATAACTCATCAATTTTAAATCCCTCACCTTCAGTAATCAGCTCCTCTTTCACCCTGACCTGGGAAACAACACTACCATCAGTAGAGGCAGATGAAAAATACGTATGTAATGTCTCAGTTTTCTCAACGGACATGTCATAAATCTCCTTTATCACCCCAAATCAGCATCCTGATAGTTATAACTTAGTGACAGTTTATAAGCTGTAGAAGATATTCTGAATCCCTTCTATGTTACTTGCTGTTCTTTTTCATAGTCCCTCCTGGCTGCTGTTATATCATTTCTCACTTCCCTGAAGGGGGCAGGGCTTTAACAGTGGGTATGCAGATTCACACTCAGCTATATTTATGTCAACACAGCATACCCAAAGATATATGCACCTAATTTGTTTTCTCATTATTAATCTAACGTCTGTAAACAAAATGTTAAACACCATCATATCACCATATTTAAAACAAATCTTATAACATTTGTTTTGAAGTATTTGACATACCCTGTTCTCCTGCAGTGAAGTGAATGCTTATTTGGATGCAATTTTTCATGCAAAGAGCTCAGTCATTCTCCTGTAGAAACTTAATATGCAAAATGACATAGGATCCTGACATAGGATAATGGTAAAAAGTTGCAGCATGCTGCTATGCAGAGGGACCTGGGTGTCCTTGTGCATGAATCACAGAAGGTAGGTCTGCAGGTACAACAAGTAATTAGGAAGACAAATGGAATTTTGTCCTTCATTGCTAAAGGGATTGAAATAAAAAGCAGAGAGGTTATGTTGCAGCTGTACAAGGTGCTGGTGAGGCCACACCTAGAGTACTGTGTGCAGTTTTGGTCTCCTTACTTGAGAAAAGATGTACTGGCACTGGAGGGGGTGCAAAGGAGGTTCACTAGGTTGATTCCGGAGTTGAGGGGGTTGGCTTATGAGGAGAGACTGAGTAGATTGGGATTATATTCATTGGAATTCAGAAGATTGAGGGGAGATCTTATAGAAACATATAAAATTATGAAGGGAATAGATAAGATAGAAGTAGAGAGGATGTTTCCACTAGCAGGTGAAGCTAGGACAAGAGGGCATAGACTCAAGATTAGAGGGAGCAGATTTAGGACTGAACTGAGAAGGAATTTCTTCACCCAGAGGGTTGTTAACCTATGGAATTCCTTGCCCAGTGAAGTAGTTGACGCTACTTCAGTAAATGTTTTTTAAAAAAAGGTAGATTTTTTTTGAACAATAAAGGAATTAAGGGATACGGTGAGAATGCAGGTAAGTGGATCTAAGTCCACGAAAAGATCAGCCATGATCTTATTGAATGGCGGAGCAGGCTCGAAGGGCCAGACAGCCTACTCCTGCTCCTAGTTCTTGTGTTCTTGTGTGTTCTTGTGTTCATCCTTTGATCAATAGCTGTAAAAGTTTGATTTAGCAACATTCATCAGAATGGACCTGTTTGCTGATGGACAGATCTAGATTGTCCTGATATTTGTGGCAAAACCAATGTCTTTTTCAATTACGCATCAAAGGATCTTCAAGGAAAACACAGGGGTTTACAGTTGACAATACTGTATGGAGCTAGAGGAACACAACAGGTCAGGCAGCATCAGAGGAGCAGGAAAGTCAGTGTTTCGGGTTTATACCCAGTCCTGATGATGGGTATAAACCCGAAACATCGACTTTCCTGCTCTTCTGATACTGACTGACCTGCTGTGTTCCTCTAGCTCCATGCTGTGTTGACTCTGATTCTAGCATCTGCAGTCCTAGCTATCTCCTAGGGTTTACTGAGGGTAGCTGAGGTAACTGAAGAGAGGGCTGCCAGTGGAGGGCCATGCAAGTGCAGGATTCAAAGTTGGAGGGACCCAGAACTCCTGAGGGTTGTCAGTTTGAAGCAGGTTACAGAGCTGTGACAGAATGAGGAAAGTTTTGAAAAAGAAGATGGTAATTTAAAAAGTGATGTGTTATTGGAATTGAAGCCAATGTATATCAATGAACACACTGGTTGAGCAGGATTGGCAACTGAGATTTCTGTGAACATTGCAATAGTTCAGACAGGAGAAATCAAAAGCGTGGTAAAAGTTTCAGCAGAAAATGATATGAAGTGGGGGTAGAAATGAGAGATGTGGTTGTTTGCCATGCTTCCATCTGCCAGAGACGATGGGAATGCAGCTTCAGAACTTCAGTGAGGTCAGATGAGACTATCTGTTGCACTTTGCCCAATGGCTGATGTTATGAATAGATATGAACCAAATGTAATGTTTTAAAAAGATTCTGTGGAACTACATTAAAATATCCTGAACTTTTAAACAAAGGATACTTTGTTAAGGAAATGGCATTAGGAACATCATCAATAAAGTTGCACCTACAAGGAGTAGGGAGCTTGGATAGAGTCAAAGTCTGGAGAACTTTAAGACAGAGTCACATGGGACAAGATATTGATTTTATGAATGCAGTCAGGGAATCAAGGGTTATGGGCAAGGGGAGGAGAGTGGATGTGAGAAATTTCAGATCAGCCATGATCCTATTAAATGGCGGAGCAGGCTCAAGGGGCTGAATGGCCTACTCCTGCTCCCAGTTCTGATGGTCTTATGGCGGAAATTGAATTTATTAAAGACTAGATGCAAGATTGATTTGACTGATAGTATCAAAGACATTCTAAAAGATATCTAGAAGAATGAGGAAGGACAAAACAACATAATAAAATTGTTGCCATTTCTGATTTGTCATATGGTTCATTTCAATATTCCTTTATTAAACCATTCAGGGTGGTCATTTGTGAGAACAGGGAGGCAAAACTGAGGTTTTTGAGGAAGAATCCAGTGACTGGAGATTGTAAAGGTGCAAATTCTTACAAGATATTCTCATAATATCAACGAATCTGAATAGAAGTAGGGGAAGTTTGCTGCACAGTAACTGAAAGAGGTTACAGTCAAGAGAGGTGGAATCTCAGAGACAACATGGTTTAGAGAAAAAATGAGGGGACATGGAAGAGAAAGATTCTAGTTCATAGCTAGGTTCAGGAGAAACTCCGTAGGGTGAACGAGGGGATGGAGAGCCTTGGCAGGAGCAGACAAGAAGGATTGTCTGAATCTTAGTGACCAATTGAAGCAGCAAATGTAAGAGAGTTTGGGAGCTGGTTGGCAATGAAAATAAACAAGCTAGCAACCAGTTTTGAATTTGATGTTGGAGTAATGTGTAGATTTTACAAAAGACAGCAGGGCCTGATGGTGTTTGATATCATTGAGCCCAATTGGTTTACCCAATTATTTAATGCCCTGTATTCAGTAAAAGTGGAATTGATTACATTTATTCATTTCCAATGGCTTTGGTGCTGAAAGTCAGCAATTAAAATTTTCTTTGAAAGTTTATATAGGTTTCAGATAATGTTTCTGCCCTCCAGTAACTGATGGGATTTTTGATTGTCAGCATATTTTCACCGACAGGAAAAATAGCATAGGCACACTGTCAAATGGCCTACTTTTATGCTTAAATGTCTATTGTTTTATAGACTATTGAGAAATTTACTTGTGTTTATAATACAAAAGAGGTGTCAGAAGACAGATTGAGGTCGAGACGATGCCTATTGATAAAATGAACAGGTGCCTGTTTCCCCGAAATTGGTTTCTAGAAATGCAACATCACTTATTATGTTTTGTTACTTTGAAAAAGCACCACAAAATTGGGCACAGTGGAATCAATTTTTTGTTGGGTGTGTAACCGAAGACATTACAGAAATTCTGCCCTTGTTTTATTCAAGTTGTTCAAGCAGTAGATTATGGAACAATATGCTTGAAAAAGGCAGTCAAGGTGATTACACTGACTTACCTTGGGTTATCACATTTACGCTGGCGGAAGTGCACTCCCACATTACATGTTCGACTACAAGTACTCCATATACTCCAGATACTCCATTCTCCGTCTGTGTGGTCTGGAAGAGGTGCCTTACTAACACATTCACCAACTTTACACCACTGTGAAAGAAAATAGATTACCCTGATAATTCATATTTGCAACATGCACAAAGATCCACTTATGGAACATTTAGATTCATAAAAGAATATCATCAATAAAGGAGATTATCATCAGTTGTAAATTTTTAATGAAGTTCACTAATACATGTAGAAAACATCATTCAACAACTTCTTGAGGAAATTATATAAGCCTTATAGCAATCTAAAATGTAAAGATTACATTCCTTTCCAAACATAAAGGAAACTTGTTTTTCAAGTAATAAGCTTGTTTCTACCTCTGGTTTAATTTTATCAGGACCTAGCTCAATATTATCTTTGTACTGAGTCCACCCAAGTGGCAACAGGTTGCAGAAGGTTTGAGGCAAGGACATTACCAAGACAAGAACAACTGGGGACGTGAGGAGAAGGTAGTTGGAAAGTAATCTGCTTCTGATAAACTAAATAGCAAATGAGTTGTTTGTTCTGTTTGTTCATTTAGAAAGGGGATAGGAGATCTGGTGACCTGTTAACATGGCTGCTAACCCACTATGTTCGCCAATGGCTTTTTTTTATTATTCACATGTAGGCCTTGTTAAAAAAATTTAGATTTCAGTCTGTCAAAATTGAAATAAGCAACAACTGTTTTCTTTTATATTTATATATTCACAGAATGTGGGTTCACTGTCTATGCTGGTGATCTCCAGTTGGACAGGTGGTGAAGAGCTATCTGCTGGAACTTTCATGGTCCATGTCACATTGTGCTGTTTGGCAAGGATTTTCAAAATTTTAAACAAGGTACAGTGAAGGAACAGTGGTATAGTTCCAAGTCGGGATGGTGACTGGGTTGGAGGGGAATTTCCATGTGATTATGTTACCATGCATCTGTTCCCCCTTTTCCTTCTAGATGCCAAAGGTCATAGGTTGAGAACATGCTGGTGAAGGAGTCTTAATTAGTTACTATTAGTTATTAGTTACTACTATTAATTAGCATCTTCTGGAGAGTACACACTGCTGCCACTGTGTATCAGGATGGGAAGCAGTGAATATTGAAGGTGGGAGATAGGGTCCCAATCAAGTGGGTGCCTTTCCTGGATGCTGTTGAGTTTCTTGGGGGCTGCTGGAGTAGTACTCCACCAGGAAAGTGGAGAGTATTCCATTATTTTCTTTATTTGTGCTCTTACAGATGATGGACAGCCTTTAAGGAATTAGGAGGGGATTTACATGCTACAGAATTCCCAATCACTGACTTATTATTGTAGCTACATCATTTAGATGGTTGGTCCAGTTCCAGTTCTGGTCAATGGTAAGGCCTAGGATGTTGATAGTGGGAGATTCAGTGATGGTAATGCTACTGAAAGTTAAACAATAATGGTTGGATTTCCTCTTATTGGAAAAGGCCATTGTCTGGCATTTGTGAGGTATGAATGCTACTTATCAATTATCAGATGAAATATGAATGCTGTATGGGTTGCATTCCATACAGATAGCTTCAGTATCTGAGGAGTCATGAATAGTGCAGAACATTGTGCAACCATCACTGAACATCCCTACCTTTGATGTTATGGTGGTGGGAGGGTCACTGATGATGCAGCAATGATTGTGGTTGGCTTGGGCAATATACTGAATATTTCCTGCAGAAATGTCCTGTAGCTGAGATGATTGACCTCCAACAAAAGCAACCATTGACCTTTGTGCTAGGAATGACTCCAACAAGCAGACAGGCTTTTCTCTTGCCTACCCCAATTAACATGGACTTCAATTTTGCCATCACTCCTTGATATCACACTTAGATAAATGCCATGACGTCAAGTTCAGTCATATTCATCTCCACACTGAAAACATTTAAACACAAAATAACACCACTGAATTTCTTATTGTCTCTTATTGGAGATGGCCATAGCCTGGCATTTGTGTGGCGTGAATGTTACTTGCCATTTGTCAGTCCAAGTCTGGATATTATCCAGATCTTGCTGACTTGAACATGGATTGCTTTAGTATCTGAGGAGTTGCAATTGGTGCTGAACATTGTGAGTATGACCTGGTGAGCCAGATGGGGTTTTTCTTTCCAACAATCGGCAATGGTTTCATGGTCTTCATTAAATTCTTAATTCCAGATATTTTTATCTGGGTTTCTGAATTAATAGTCCAGCGATAATACCACTAGGCTATCACCACCCCATATCCCTCTCAAATCACCCTGCATTCCCTCACAGATTAAAAAAAAATCTGATTCAGCCTTCAATATATTCAATGATCCAATTTCCAGTAGTCTCTCAGAAAAGAATTTCACAGAACAACAACTTGGAAAAAATAAATACTCCTCCTTTAAATGAGACACACCTAACTTTCAAACTGTAGTTTTAAATTGCCCTACATGGGAAAATACTCTCTCCACAGTCACCCTGTCAACCACAGGATCTTATATGGTTCAATAAGATCACATTCCACTCAACCTGCTGATTGCCAGCAACACACTACACCAGTGTTGCTTAGTTGCAAATACATTTTGACCATTCATGATCACTCATTATGTCTGGTGATACCACAGCCAGCTCTATCTGTGTGGTTATATGGATGTGCCTGATGCTATTCACATGAGAAATCCCAGAAACAGCATTGTGTAACAGACTGGGAACGAATGCCTTCATTTCTAATTTTCCTTTTCCAATTCACAGATTTTAAACATGTACCCTGAATTGCAATTTCAGCACAAGTTTACATCGGAGAACAAGGATCCAAGGTGGCAAGTAAACCTTATATTTAGAAATAAATGATTTTTTTTGTGGTGGGGAAATTTCTGCCCATTGGAAATGTGTGTTGGATTGCTTTACATTTCGTGCACATGCAAAGTACCAGGGAGTGTAACTGGGGTTAAAATCCAAAGGGGCCAAGCTGACGTTTTGATGACAGCTGTGAGTCCGACCATGACAGATTGTAAAGATTTAGTTTATTAAAACTCAGGAATTAATAAAAAACAGTGACACTGTAAACCACATTGATTATTAAGAGCCCATCTACTTCACTAATACCCTTCAGGGAAGGAAATCTGCCATCCTTACCTGGTCTGGTCTACATGTGACTCCAGACCCACAGCAATGTGGTTGACATGTAACTGCCCTCTGGGCAATTAGGGATGGACAATAAATGCTGGCTGAGCCAGTGATACCAATATCCCATGATTGAATGAAAAAGCTCAACCCAAGATACTTAATATTTGCTGAAGCCTACACTAAATTCTAAACTCAAAAGATGGGAGGAGTAGGCCAAAATGTGCCCTCAAGCCCACACTGCTATTCAATATGATCACGGCTGATCATCAAGTTCAATACCCCAATGCCCCCGTATCCTTTGATCCCTTTAGCTACAAGAGTTATGCCTACCTCCTTCTTGAAAACACAATGTTTTAGTCTCCATTCTCTAGGTGAAGAAATTTCTCATTATCTCAGTCCTAAAAGGTTTATCCCTTATCCTTAAACTATGACAGGCAGTGACTAGTGTGGGGTTCTGCAGAGATCAGGAATAGGACCTAGCTATTTACAACAAAAGCAGAAGTTGCTGGAAAAGCTCAGTGGGTCTGACAGCTCCTGTGGAGAGAAATCAGAGTTAACATTTCCGATCGAGTGACCCGTCCTCAAAACTAAATTCAGGTATTTGCAATGTGTGTTGGTCTTAGACTCCCCCCCCATTGGGAACATCTATCCTGTACCTAACCTGTTAGAATTGTATAGGTTTCAATGAGATCCCCCCATCATTCTTCTGAACTCCAGTGACTACAATCCTAACCAATTCAACCTCTCCTTCTCCATCAGTCCTGTCATGTCAGGAATAAATTCGATAAATCTTTGCTGCACTCTCTCTGTAGCAAGAACATCCTTCCTCAGAAAAGGAGACCAAAACGGCACACGATATGTCAGGCACGGCCTCACCAAGGCTCTGTACAATTACAGCAAGGCATCCTTATTCTTGTCTCACTTTGAAGGCCAATGTACAGTTAACCTTCTTTAATGCCTGCTGCACGTGCACACTTACTTTCAGCAACTGATGCTCGAGAGATCCTAGTACCAATCCCTACGGTACCCTATTAGTCACTGCCTGCCATTTGAAAAAGACCATATTATTCCCTCTCTTTGTGTTCTATCTGCTAACCAATTTTCAATCCAACTCAATATACTATTCCCAATCCTATTTGTTTTAATTTTACATATTAATCTCTTATGTGGGATTTGTTGAAAGCCTTCATGACTTACACCACCTATTGCTTTTTAGCAATATCTTAAGTCATTAGGCAGGTAAAGACTGCATAAGTAGTATTATTACATGTGGAGCCAAATACAAAAACTGTAATTGCCATTCATTTCTATACTGAATGTCAAATTACACCAACCCAGACAAATCCAGCATCGTCAGATCAAAGCCAACATTATGTCCCAAAAGCACAGTCTGCATGTCAATGCCACTATGGTAGTAGTGATCGTTTCGTTCTCTATTCTAATCATTCTACATAGAGTCGGAGTCAAAAACTTAGTTTAATTTCAGTAATTTCTTTGTATAACTTTGTTGTTCCCATTTCTATAAGTAAATTCATTCCTTGTGAAGTGAAGGCTTGTTGAATTGTTTTCATGTGTGACTTGGCCCTAACTGGAGAGACTGAGAAATGATGGATTTTGTTCATCATTCCAACAATACTGAAAATGAATCTGACTGGCAGTGGGTATGCTAGTGCATTGTTCCTTAAACAACATTACAAGTGTAATACACTATCTGCAGCCAGCTGCTCTTCACCTCCATATTTCAGCGGCTTTAATAAAATGTAAAGTAAGCACAGTTGACAGATAAAAATAAACTGTTAATACTTAGTCAATGTTTGAAGTGGGCAACTGGCAAAGGGATTACTTACAGCTCAAAAGTTGAAATGGAAAGTATTTATTACTGCTGATAATAAAATCCTAGCTAGGTTGCAACATCCCTTGATAGGTAAAATAAAAGCATCATAAATACTTAATTGTAAAACTGCAAGTCAC